ACGCTTGAGTACCTGATTCCACTCCAAGCGTCACAAGTACCCACCCGCCGATTAGGGCTCCTAAAGCCCCGAACCCCGTGCCGCAGCTCTCGGCGGTGACAGAATTGTCCTCCAATTCAAGAAAGGTTTGATCAGTATACTAGTATTTAATATAGATTATTATAGTTTCCCTTTTTTTTTAGACTGAACTGCCAATATCTGTTATAGGTACCTTTACTAAAATAGCTCGTATTTTGGGTTGACCTAAACCATTTGCTTTTCCTTCCATACCAAAAAAAGTTCCTGAATTTTTCTACCATTCCTCAAGTACTATAGTCATTTATGCTTTAATACTGATGTAACTACCAAATGAAAGTCACTCATGGTTTTCATGAGCTAAAGGACTAATAACAATAGCTAGCAGCAGAAATAGGCTTTTCTCTCTATGCCCACCCTTTATAAGAGTATGCTTAACACACAAACAGCACTATGAACATGAATAGCATGAATAGTCTTATTTTACAGACAGCATAGTCAAGCATAAAGATTTAACAGATGCTTTGAGCACAGCACAGTGGATGAGACATAGATCTACCTTATTGGAGATATGAACACTATTCTCAGCACGTGTAACCTTCAATAAGGTACGAGGTTTTGTTCAATAAGAAAGGTTGTGAAAGCTGGGGACCACTAAACCATATCAGTGGAGGAAGCAAGTAGAAAACTCATGGGCTCCTGCATCTATACCCCATGCACATTCCTTAGGTCAAATGATATTAGAAGAAATCTGTGTCTTTTCTGAACCAGAGATTCAATCCTATGTGACATGCTGAAGTAGGAGCTGTTCAGTGTGGTAATAAAACTTTAGCAATCTCTACTGAACAGAAATGTTAATTCTGACAGCTCAAAACTAGGCAAAATCTCAACTGATGCTCATAGGGATAACATATCATATATTCCTGCACCCAGGACTATCCCATCTGCCATAGTCCAAAGTGCAGTGCTAAACTAATGAAGACACTAGAATTTTTTTTGTAAGATAGAAATGGCAGGTAGCTTTGTAACATAATTAACATTTTCACTCTTTTTATATAAAATAAACTAAATGCCACCATTTAATCTAAGTATTTTTTCATCAAGAATTCCTAGTGCCCATCACAACTAAGAGAGTGAAACATATGCTTACAGAATGTGAGTGCTATATTAAGTGCTAGAAATTGTAATCTCCAGAGTCCCCAAAGAGGATCAGGAGCCCAGCAGGGTCTCTGAGCCTTTGTATAATGCATTTTTTTTCTTCTTATCCTACCATTTGGGATAAAAATTATATGAATTGTTTTATCAAATGTGGAGAACAAACTGTCTAGCAAACTGGTCTTGTGCTATAAAATTCACCTGTATTTGAAAATGCATATGTATCTTAACTACATACATACATATGTGGTAAAAGCAACCTTTATGTTGCTGTAATAATAAAACTAAATTAAACAATGTTTTTAACATCTTTATCTAGCCATATTATATGAAAACCCTAAATCAGTGGTTCTCAATCTTTTTAGGTTCAAGGCACCCCTACATAAGTTGTGTGAATTTAGTGGCACCCCATTACAAAACCCAATTTATTTATTACATTGCTTACCTCCTTGCACAGGGGCTAGGCAGTGGAGGCAGGGGAGTCACAAAGTAGTGAAACCGAGCCTGTGCTTATGTGTTTATATCCTTACATCTCCCTTAGCTCCTCACGTTTCCTGTGGCACCCTTCCAAGGATCTCACAGCACTCCAAGGTACCCTGGAACCCTGGCTGAGAATCACTGCCTGAGATACATGAATTTAAATAATGCCTTCAGAAACTTTCATGGAATAATAATTTTACTTGCACTGAGTCTACAAGAAGCTACACTGGAAAGTTAAGGAAATATACAAGAGTAAGAGGCAAGGAAAGTAAAATGTAAAAGAAACTATATTTTTATGATCATATTGACTATCTAATACATTAGTAGAATTGGGTGCCTCTACACATGAAATTAGTGCACCTAAATAGATTCCAGCATAATTCACACCAGAGTTAATTGCTCCTGGGCACAGCATTTACACTGCACCCAGGACTGCAGCCCATGAGCCAGGCAGCACAGCCTCAGCCGGCAAGAGGTTCAGGGGAGTGGGGCAGAGTCAGCCTGCCAGCCTGGAGCTGCTCCGCCCTGGCTCAATGTGCTGCAGAGCTGCTGTCCAGGGCAATGCAGGCCTAGCTGGCAGGCAGTCCCCACACTGTAGGACCCTCGTGCCCCAGCCAACCCCAGTCACCGTCTATACATGGGTTGCGGCAGAGTAAATAACTATGCCATAGGATAGTACTTATGTCAGGCAGTACTATCCTACAGTGGAATTAATTAGTTTACTGTGGTCTAATAATGCCGCACGTGTAGATGGTGATGCTTTATTATGCTAATTAGTCAACTGCAGTAAAGAGTCTTGTAAAGAGTCTTGTGTAGATGCCCTTACACAATGAAACTTGTATGTTTTCTTAGATGTAATACTGTTATATTTTATAGAGTTCCTGTTCACCCTATAGATCCCAAAAAATCTCAAACTGTTATATATATATATATATATATATGGTCTTCCAAAGGAAAAAAATTGAGCACTGGTTCAGGGTAGATGGAGAAGGCACTGGGTAAAGGTGAGAAAGGCAAGAAGATACATACAAGATTGTTTTGGCAGCACAGAAGCCAGCCTCCCTCCCATATTGCATGCTTTTTGAATGAAAGTCTTGGATGTAATATGGTAAGAGCTAAGTATGTATCCATTAGCATTGCCTCCTCTTTTTCTCTTCTAGTCTCAATTCCTTATATTGTCAATCCCATTTACTTCCTAGCTGGCACTAGTCTACACTGCACCTTTTCTCATCCCCACAGTATCTCACCATTGTTGCTTATTTTTAATCTTCCCTAGAGCCAGCCCTTCCACTGAGTTCTCCATTTCCCTCTCATCACATTCCATATCTGCTAGGGCTGAATGGCCCAAGAATGAAAGATGGGGTCAGGACTGTTGGAAAAACTGTGATGAGGATCACAGTCCTTAGATGACAGAGGACAAGAGCCTGGTTACTGTTCTTTCCACCCTACTCTGGACAAAAGACAGTTTCATTCTTGACATAAAAGTTTACCTAGTGGTTGGTCAACCAGTAACTGAGATCCTTTTAGAGATCACAATACTTGTTCATCAGTATGTAGACTCCAAGCATGACAGTCTCAATGGTCCTCAATTAGTGGAGCACTGTGCAAGTGCTTGTGCAAATGCATGTTACCATAGTGCCTGATTAAATTAAACACTTAAATGTTCAACATTTATTTAAGTTCCATTAACTTCATCCTGTGTTTTCAAAATGAAGTAAATGCTTAAGTGACTTGGTGAACAGGGATGGATTTTAGCAAATATTTAAAATGAAGTTGTGAATTACAGGAGACAGTTAATAGCAAGGAGACACAAATCAATAGAAATAAAAACACCCTTGTCTTCCTCCTCCAAACTTTCACTCAAATGTCAAACCACAAACTTTTCCTGATATTATATTTAAAAAAAGTTTAACCTTTTTCCTCTCCATTAAACCCATTTCCAGAACCAAAAGTGGACATCTGCACATGTTACTGTATTTACTCAATTCCAAGATGAGGCATTTCTCCTCATTCAACATGGGGAAAAGAAAGCCTCATCTTAGAATCAAGCATCAAGTAAAAATACAGTACATGCAGTTAGAAGAGGCAGCAGG